TATGTACTCGGAGGTCATCCACAGAAAGTCGTGTTTCGTTAAGTTCTATTTATTAGGCTCACTCGTATATTATTTAGCATTGACTTTACAAATGTCAGGCTCTCTGCATATAGCAAGGAATTCCTTTTCTGCCTCTGTTGAAGTTGAACATTCCCGAATAAGGGCAAATTTCTTGCATGCAGGATCGTTGCATACAACACCACTTCAAACACATCTGCCGTAGTGGTCTAGTGGTTATGGTTCAAGATGTTTGCCTCGAGGGTCGCCAAGTTGAATCCCGGATATGGCAGCCCCATTTCGATGGAGGCGAATCGATATAGGCCTGTGTATCTAGATTTAGGTCGATGACAAAGAACACCAGATGATCATATTTTTTTTAGTCTTACATTACGGCATCCCTCAAAAGTGATATGGTGGTCTTGAGACGCGAAACCCCGAAAATTATTGTCAATCGCACACGACTCCGACGCGCAATCGCACACGACTCCGACGCGCAAGCGTCTCCCTTGTATCTCGACTGATGCAAGAAAGGAGACGCTAGCATCGCATTCCATTCGGACCGACTCTGCCTCATTATGGGCAGAAGCTTTCTATGAACACACTTTGAAATGTACAAAGTGTCCTCCAAACTCTTCTCACATTGCATGAGAAAGCGCTTACAAACACTGGTGGTGGTCACAGCGGTGGACTTCTTTGTTCTGATGGGAGAAGGTCGGAGGATTTCGTGGCTGACGGTGGCATCGTCCGCGATGTCCTCTCTTCGACGACCACATGCACTGATCGGGGCCCCATCCACAGACTTCTCTAACCATCTCACAATCTTTTATTCTTATCTCAACCTTCACCTCATTCTCTTTTAACTCCTCCTTATATCCCTTCTCTTGTGAGCTATACTGTTTAGGGTGTCAACCTTTGATGCAGACAGTTTTGCGGTTCACATTTTATTTTTCCTATTTAATTATCACCCTCTCCCTGGGGGTTGTGATCACACAACAGCTTTTCATCGTAAACAACAAGCTGCTCATATTATAATTGAACGTAGTGTCACGGATCCATCAAATTTGCGCTACAAGCGACGTCGCCACCTGGACTCCGTGCTTTCAGTAAGGTGCAAGGAGAGTAACAACTAGAGTGCGAGGCGTAGTTGCGAAAGCAAACTGCTTGCGTAATTAAGGGGGGTAGTGAATAAGGGGAACGGCCTTCGTTTTGGTGGCGAAAACAATAGCGTCACGCAACGCCCGCTATGACGTAGCATGCCTGGCACTATACCAAGCCTCGGTGGGTCGCGCCCGCACCCCTTTTCTTGCTCAATAAAGGGCGCGATGATCTTGGCGGGATGTGAGGGGTGTAAAACTTGGCAGATTCACTGAAGTGTCGATCGAGGGCCCTGAAATCGTATTCGCCAGAGCTAGTTGTTCCATAGGTAGCAATAATTGGTTTGAACATCGCGGGAACTTCAAACAAGGGTAAAAAAAAAAAGACAAGAGCATCGTTGTATACCAACAAATGATAATTTTTATTTTATTTATGTGTGTGCAGCTAAATAAATTACAAAACACGCACTTGCGTTGGCGACCCCGAGCTACGGATGCCTACGTCAATGATGACCTGGAGCCTAGAAACAACCTGCGTCATGTGCCCAGAAACGACCTAGAAGCAACAGCATTAGTCTTCAAAACTGTTCTGTTTGGCTGCTTCAAGCGTTGCGTCGTTTAGTGAAAGCTTCGCCTTTTTGTGTGTGATTTCATAAGGAAAGTTGCTGTGAGACAAAAACAGTCGTTTTTGGTGCCATAGTTGCCTGCCGCCGGTGCTAACTGTATGAGTCCCTCCATCGACTGCGCCTTCGGAATTTCACGCATGGTGGGCTCCTTTATCAATTTCACAGCGAAAGCTTTTACGGGATAAAACAGAGTTTCGGTGCCGTATCTGTCCGCCGCCGTTGTCTGCAACTGCTATCGCGCGAAAGAAGAAAATCAAAATGGTATGAATGAAAATCACCAGCCCTTCGTGGTGCACAGCAGTCGTGATAACAGCCAGCAGCCGGTGTGCGGTAGTACATGCCTTTGCGAAGTCTTTCTCGAGGCGGAAGTTATCAGATATACTTGCGTTCCAGACTGACCGACGAGCACCTCCACGAGATTCTGCGTCTATCGTTGAGGAACCTTGATGTAGATATTTGCAAGTCGAATGTTGGTACCAAAAGTGCACTGAAAAGCTTTTTTTCTTTCGTTTGCTTCTACCCATCGTTTTTATGGAGTGCAACCTAGTGAATGCGTGCTGAAAATATTTCTGAAAGTAATTATGACCTTTTTTCAAGTTTTTGGGATCTTGATCGATTCACAAATTTTTTTTTTGTTTTTGCCTCCGTTTATCTGCTGTAGAGTCAATCGCACACGACTCCGACGCGCAAGCGTCTCCCTTGTATCTCGACTGATGCAAGAAGGGAGACGCTAGCATCGCATTCCATTCGGACCGACTCTGCCTCAATATGGGCAGAAGCTTTCCACGAACGCACTTTGAAATGTACAAAGTGTCCTCCAAACTCCTTTCACATTGCATGAGAAAGCGCTTACAAACACTGGTGGTGGTCACAGCGGTGGACTTCTTTGTTCTGATGGGAGAAGGTCGGAGGATTTCGTGGCTGACGGTGGCATCGTCCGCGATGTCCTCTCTTCGACGACCACATGCACTGATCGGGGCCCCATCCACAGACTTCTCTAACCATCTCACAATCTTTTATTCTTATCTCAACCTTCACCTCATTCTCTTTTAACTCCTCCTTATATCCCTTCTCTTGTGAGCTATACTGTTTAGGTGTCAACCTTTGATGCAGACAGTTTTGCGGTTCACATTTTATTTTTCCTATTTAATTATCACCCTCTCCCTGGGGGTTGTGATCACACAACAGCTTTTCATCGTAAAACAAGCTGCTTCATATTATAATTGAACGTAGTGTCACGGATCCATCAAATTTGCGCTACAAGCGACGTCGCCACCTGGACTCCGTGCTTTCAGTAAGGTGCAAGGAGAGTAACAACTAGAGTGCGAGGCGTAGTTGCGAAAGCAAACTGCTTGCGTAATTAAGGGGGGTAGTGAATAAGGGGAACGGCCTTCGTTTTGGTGGCGAAAACAATAGCGTCACGCACCGCCCGCTATGACGTAGCATGCCTGGCACTATACCAAGCCTCGGTGTGTCGCGCCCGCACCCCTTTTCTTGCTCAATAAAGGCGCGATGATCTTGGCGGGATGTGAGGGTGTAAAACTTGCAGATTCACTGAAGTGTCGATCGAGGGCCCTGAAATCGTATTCGCCAGAGCTAGTTGTTCCATAGGTAGCAATATTGGTTTGAACATCGCGCGGGACCTTCAACAAGGGTACAAAAAAAAAAGACAAGAGCATCGTTGTATACCAACAAATGATAATTTTTATTTTATTTATGTGTGTGCAGCTAAATAAATTACAAAACACGCACTTGCGTTGGTGACTACCAACAGATATCTAGCAGTGATTGGCATCTAGTGTCGTTTCCACGAAGTGGCTTTCTTCATGCGAGGGAGATATGAAGCTTCTTTTCTTGTCAGAATCACTGACGCTGCACCGACACACGTGCTACCTTTTATCTGGATCTCTGTGGCTTCTTTAATTTTGTTCTTGAGTTTGTTACCCATTTCTTTTCGCGTTGCTTGAAACTACAAAGAAAATGCGGCAAGGCTACCAAGGAACTATATTAGACCGAACCGTCAGATCAAAGACGCTTCAGCATTACTTAGATTACACGATTTTGATTCAATCTGGCAGCACTTGCACCTTAGTTTTTGACGCTTTTATGTATATTTGAAACATAAAAGAACGCGCCCGAGGTGCTTGCGTTCTTTGATATAGTTTCCGTGTCTGGGTGTGTGTATTATGCAGCCTAAACACAAAAATGTTATTTTTTTATGTTCATAGCGTTTTAGGGGTTCATCTTGTCGTCCATCACCTCGTGTGGCATGGTCACGCAGTGGTCAATGTAGGCCTAAAATGACGCTAACGATGCTCAAAACGAATGCAACATATAATAAGAATGTCTGAAATGATAGAAAAGACCCTACTAGCGTGGAATGAATCTCAGTATTTGTCTTAAAACTGCGAAAAGCGATTCTGAGACACACGGCTGGTACTTAGCCACGCAAGAGAGGGCGCAACTGTCGCGGCAAGAGCGCGATTGACGAGCTCCTGTCAAGCGCCCTGGAGGATCACTGGGTGTATGGGCTCCTTCGATTTTCATGGTAGGGCAGCTGCATTGAGGGTGAGATTTAGAACTACACCAAAACCTACATGAAAACGACATTTGGCAAGATCTTTCTCTGTAACTTTATTTGGCAATCGTAGGTGTACCTTGAAACAGCCAGCCCTGGTGAGGCCTGAGCCCCTGATTCATATGGCATCTTTCAGTAGTAACAGTTCAGTAGGCGCAGATTCACGCTCCACGACACTTCAGCGCGCTTCAGTGTTGATTAGATTTCAAGACTAACCCGCCGCGGCGCACTATAGTGAATGTACTGCTTGAGTGCTCGCGTGGAGGTCATGTGATCGAAACCCGGCCACGGCGGCCGGATTTTGGTAAAGAAATTTGTGGGCTTGTATTCAGGTGAACATTGAAGAACTCCAGGTGTTCGAAATTTCCGGAGCCCGTCACTGGGTGCCTCTCATAATCATACCACGGTTTGCGAGCTTATGAAACACTAACAAATGCTCATTTTAGATTTTAAGATTATGTTTAAAGTGGGCTACATTATTACTATTTTAATTTTTCTCTCAATCTGAATAGTTAACATTATGAAATGTACCTGGAATTAGCCAACCCTACCGGATCCAGAGCCTCTATTGCGCATCATCTTGTACCGCTGAAGTTTTGTCCTGCAGGAAAAACTGAATTCTGTTCTAAAGGGACCGATTCTTTAGCCAATCAGTTGTTATGAAGTAAGCGTGTCTTGATACGCCGGTTGTCTTCTTTTCAGCACTCGTCGTACGGTTCCTGACGAAGAGGTACATAGGAGAATATGACCACCAAACAGGTAAGCTATTAACGTTTCAGGGAAGGATAGCGTTACCGCGCATGAAACAGCTATCGATGGAACTATAATCGATGTCATTTGGCACACACTCTCGAGAAGTTTGAACCAGTCTAAAGACAATGTATAGATGAGACGGGAAACAAACACAAGCACAGCAATAACTATAGATTGAAGACACCCATCTCCTAGGAAGGCAGGTCGAGCGTGCACAGCTCAGGAGACCTGACAAACACCGTGAATACAGATAGGGAGATAGATTAACTAACCTGCAGCTAACCAATAGGGAGATTACTTCACTCTGCATCATGTGAATGGAAGGAAACCTGATGCAACTACCTATTGATATGCTGATAAGGTTCGAGAATTTCAGGCTCCACTAGACTTCATTTAGCATCACTTCCACCGAATAGGTGATGACTGTGTTTAGAAGAAATTTTCGGCGATTTAGAGCCCGATGTACACTATGGGAGAGCAATACGATGATTGTGCTCTCTGGTCGCAGAGTGCAAATTCAAACTCGAAAATTTTGGTGCTGATAGGCGAGTTTCAATGAGAAATGTTCGTGGCCGTCTTAAACAGCGGGGTTTTCGGCAAGTATTCATAGAGTCTCAAATTTGAATTTATTGTTAGGTGCCATACGGAAGCATATTGCAGTGGATGAAAATAGCAAGCAAAATATAAGACACCAAACATATAAAATATTGATGGTCATTAACACTCAAAATCTTGAATATTAGCCCTATCCCGACTGGTAAGTTTGTTAATCCTGGTTTATAAAATATTGATGCGTGTGCATGTCTCTCAATCAATGTATCCACCTTTTTTTTTATTCTGTGCAGAAAACAGGTACAAAAGCGAGATGATGGTGGATGGCGAGCCTGTTCTATTTGAAATACTGGACACCTGCCCAAGGGTGAGTAAATAGCAGCAGTGCATTATCCAAAGGAAACTTATATGTGCCTTTTCTACGCGACTCCATAGAGGTATATCAGATAAGCTCATATGACATTTTTCGGTGGCAGGATTTTTCTCAAAACATACACAGATATGCCTGCGGTTCCATACTGTTTTCATTCATTCTGAAAATACACAATCGATTGTTTGTTTAAAGGGGCGGACATAGCGGCACGGGGAAATACTGGCACTGCTCTGAGGTGGAATACTCAAGTGCCTCACAGAAGATCTCGGTTCAACTCCAGCTCGGGTCTTAATTGCTATTTTTCGCGAACATGGACATATTCCACTAAAGGACACCGCGTTTTATAGGCTCGAGCTCTTTGACGCTACCGAATTGAAGTACACTAGATCGCCTTTTTTCGAATGAGAACTTCGTAAAAAAAAGGAAAAAAAAACTGTTTCATATGTCATCGCGTTTTTTCACGAAGCGTGGGCAGCTTTCACTCTTAATTCTTTCGATGACTGAAATCCTCCTAAATATTTCTTATCTTTGTGCTCAAAAAGAATATATGAGGGGAAAGAAACTTTTAAAAAGTAAAAAAGAAATGAGATTTCTCCATTCTCCGCTCGTGTTTGGAATCCGCCGCTAATCTTCTCAAAGCTCTCTTCTCCTTGATTTCAAATCCTCGGCCAAATAACGAGGATGACCTGGGTTTTTCGAAAACCCCATGGTCCGTTCCCGAGTTCTCTTCATCGAACGCCATGCAATCAAGAAAGGAGATTAAGAAGAGCAGAACCGTTCTTTGTAAGGCGCTTTAAGAGCGGGCAGTATAGTGCTGCTGTAGTTGGTGAAAGGAGCAAGAAGAGTGACAGCGTGTGGAACCACACAAAGGAGCTTGCTGAGGGATTAAGCGACATTGCGGAAAGGTGCATCTGTTGACATTAATCCCCATTTCTCTTTTGGACAGTCTTTCCTCCTTATACCTTTTAGGGAAAAAAACTCAGAAAGAAATGAAATAATTACAAACTGCACATTTTTTTATTTACACAATGTTTTGAACAAGTCCCTGCATCGCTTTATGGTGGAACAAAAGAGTACCCCTAACAATGTGATTCGGAACTTTGTCGATGATGTAAGAGTCTATACAGAGCAAATAAATACAATACAACAAGCAATGTAAACAGAATGCAATTTCAGCGCTCGTTTTCATCGTTTTTCTTTCTCCCGTGTGCTTTTCTCACCGTAACATCTCGTGATTATCTACGAACCCGCCTAAGCTGACTTTTAAATAAGATGCAGTGTTGTTCCCAGTTTGTAGTTCGTTTTCTAAGAAATCTGTAGATCACTTGGTTATGGCAAATGCATGTACGAACGATCAAACTGGGCAAAAAGGCAAAACACAAATCGAATAATGGTATTCACTTGCGTTTCGTATGCTATTTTCTATTGCAGGCGAATAAAACAATCTAGATACTTAAAAAAAAACTGTGTTTAGCAGTTGTATAATGCACATATTTCTTTTATATTTCAGGATACTTGTCCAGCTTGGTTTGATTTAGGCTGTTATGTTTGTCATTATGTGAATATTTTTATACTACTCATGTTACATTACTTTGGTATGAAATTTATGATGTATTATGCATTGTCATTCGTATTGCTGGTGTTGATTACCAACAAGAGCGGGAGCGCCTTGTTAGGCCTTCGTACCCTTATGTTTTTGTGAGTTGCGCGCAGCCCAGCGATTACACTGGTGTGGAGGCTGAAAAAGGGGTTGAGATGCAGCACTTTGAACCCGGGGACCCGAAATTTGAACCTGGGGACCGGATTTCGGCAAATAAAATGTGCTGTAGGCGTATCGTCTGGTCTCTGGCTCTCTTATGTTTTTTTCAAGGGGCATGTTCGCCCAATGAATGGGTATTTTTTTCAGCTATGCGTCTGGCTTACCTATGACTCAAGCACGGAAACAACGTCACAACATGAAACTAGTTCCCCTCCGTCTGACTATAGTGTACTAGAATATGGGTACATATAGTACATATTGTAGTACACTATAGTCTGACTGGAACTTGCTGTCGGGCTAGCCGGCAAGCCGCAATAGTAAAATAACTACACACAACAGACTCTCGTTCACGGACATATCCGCATGCAGATAAAAATTTACAGGTCCCGTATGCATTCGCGTGAGACAACCGAATCGCGAATGCCATTTTATTTATCTAATTAATCTTGTCTTTACATTCTTAGTCGATTGCATTGACTGCCACCCCCTTACCCCAAAAGCTTTTGAAACTTCACGTCATTCATTAGCACTACGTTTAGACCGGCCGCAATTAGACCAAGTGTATATGTGGTGTCGTGACGTCATATCATGACATCACAAATTTGAGCGACCTGTGACACTGTGACGAAGTCACATGCCGACGTCATCACGCAATGACATATATATTTTTTTGCATCAGTTCATGCTAACCCTGGTGCTTCCGACGGACATTTTTCTTGTTTGATGAATAATTTAGGCCTTAGTAGTTGGGACCACTTAGCACAAAGAGTGGCCAAGGAGTGCTTTGAGGGAGCTGTAAGTTTAGCCTAATTGATTCCTTTATGATGAAGTGCCGCATATATTTGGTGCCTCTTCAGAGTGAGGACGAGCTTCCCCGGGACGAGATCCTGCAGTGGGCGGATGGCTTCATGCTCGTCTACTCCATCGTGGACCGGGCCAGCTTCCGTTATCTGGGCCTTCTGCGACGCCACCTGAACAACACACTGCCGAACCTGCACAGGGCGGTCACGCTATCCAACACGGGCGGTGGCCCTGCAGGTGCGGGGGGTGGTGGTGGCGCCCACCAGCCGCAGACGCAGCAGACACCGGTGCCGGCGCCAGTCTGCATCGTGGCCAACAAGGCCGATCTCATCCACCTCAGGCAGGTGAGGGTGCCATCGAAATGTACACACTAACGAACGAACACGAGTGGCACTATTTCTTTAACCAGATAGGCAGTCGGGTGGCACGCTTCAGCCATTGTGGCAGATATTCCCGAATATTCACCTTTACCGCAATTGTCTTGAAGCTTGCACGGCGATGCCTCTTGCATAAAATGAAAAGTGTAACCTCTTAGTTTATACATATAGGCATCGCATATAGCTCTCTGTTACACAGAAACTTTACACCACTACGTAGCGTATGACAGCCCTTGATTTCGTCTTGATAGGTGAGCACGGAGGAAGGCGAGATCCTGGCCAAGGATGCAGATGATGGTTTCGTCGAGCTCACGGCCTCCGAGCAGGTGCACCAGGTGGCGCAGGCGTTCGCCGACCTCTGCCGCGACGTCTACGCCCACAGGAGGCGCTCCAAGCAGTCGCTGCTCGACCGGGTCTTCTTCGCCGGTGCCAAGGGCATCGCTGCAAAGGCAAACGACCCCGCTGGAGGGCGCAAGTGAAAAAAGACGTCACACTGTCGGCTCGGTCTCCACGTCTGTGGCATTGTTCGTATCGTTTTATCGTATCTCTGTAAGTCGGGATACATAGATACTTAGAAGTTTTCTAACAAGAATCAAAGATAAGTGTTTTGTTGTGTTCGAGTCAGGATAGATTTCGGCAAGATAGAATTGCCCTTAATCGCGAAAATGGGCAATCCGAAGCTTGCGGTTCGGGACTTGAACGTAGAATTCGGAAATGTAAATTTCGCACGTGCTTGCATTTCTAGAGTGAGGTAATGGTATCATGGGCTGAAAGTTTTGTTGAGAGTTCATAATTCGAAGTTCCCAGACAATGACCGATATTGCAGGCAGGGTCTACTAAAGTTACAGAGCATACACAGAATTTGATCTACTGGTCATGTACGTCGGCCATTAAGCGAAAGATGAGAAATTTGCAAACCTTTCAATTTTCGCTCAGTGAAGAGCAGCTCATTAACTGGACTTCCTCATGGTGTTGCTTGCGAGAAAATTTGAAATTGTTTTTACCACTGGTCAGCGTTTCTGTCATGTGGAGGCTGACAAACAAAAGTCGTACTGAATTTTATTGGGTGGATATAAGACCGCACTTAGATAAATGGTTTTTTTATTTGTTTGAGGAATTTTACTATTCATGCACTCTGCACTTAACAAAGGTTTATATGTGTTTTATTTATTGTTGTGACTATGAAACGGTTTTGTACAGATAACAAGCGGGATAAAAAACTCATAGCTATCCTTCGTTTTAAAAATTTCACTTCATTGAGGTTTATCACCATATTGAACTGCATGTCTTCGAGCAGAGTGCAGTAGGAAGCAGAGACACAGTAAGAAACTCTTTTAGTTCATGTAAGTTGTTGCGTCTGGTGTCCTTGCCTCCTGCTCTGCTATGCTCAAAGTCAGTCCCTGAATAAGTCCTCATTGGTACCCTTGTCGGCATATACATTGAAGCTATGCACATGTGATATGCAAAATAAGTAAAGCTGCGAGCAATATAAAACGAGAAGTATGCAGCACTTGCACATATCTAAGGGTGCGATACTATGTGGTGAAGCAATACACCACTTTTCATTATGAATGCAAAGAGCTAATCACATTTTCTTCCCCATATTTATGAAATATTGAAGCAGCGAATGCCGTCATCGTCATTGGGAATATGAACACAGCAATTAGCCGTCTTTGCATGCCAGTTTTACCAGTCGTAATAGATTTCAGGATACACATTGCCAAGGGTGGGACGCACATGAAAGGGTAAAGGGAATGATGGTGGATCAAATATCATAAGATAATCTGTAGAAGATAAATATAAAGTTTTGAGGCATATTAGGCATGCATTATGCTTATCTGACAAGAATCATGAGCATGTTTTTTTTATATGGACAAAATAGCAATGACAAGTACAAGGAAATGAAATCAATCTATTTATTGGTTCCAACCACAAGAATTCGTAGCATAGAAGGTTCTCAGCTTTTAATTATTATTAGCTTTCTGTTCTTAACATTGTCACTGTTGTTGTGATGACACTAATTGTTGCAAACAAGCCATTGACAGTCTTCTATACCTCTGGATAATGGTGGGAAAAAGATGTTAGTGCCAAGAAGTACTCGAGAAGTTCGAATCTAACAGCGAGCAGCACAGCTGAATAATGCACTGTCAGCTATACAATCAGCAATGTTTTGATGCATGTTACTTCAACGTCCCCGACAACGAAGGAAAGAAGCCGTGAGACAGACATGGAGCTCGATATGTGCTTGCCACGATAGCAGCGACATTGTCTGGCAATACACACTTCACTCAATTTATTTTCCGTATTAAGATGGCCACAGATTTTAGGCGCTGACGTGCCACAATCAAGAATTCCGTTGTAATATTTATTCGTGCTTGTTTTGGAAGAATGCAGCAAGGTGTTGCCCATTGTCCACACTCGACCTACGGCAACTAGAAGAAAATCCATGATGTTTTAAAATATGTGTTGAAACATTCATCGGAAAGTGTCCAAAATGGGGGAATGCCTTTTATTGAACAGTTTAATGCCGCCTGAAATTTGACATCCTTCCATCAGGGCTATTACGAGAATTTACTCATTCAGCGACATTCAGTGGCAGCATGAGTGGCAATGAGCGCTTGACATCGTTTTTCTTTTTTTGATGTCATTTGAATGGTGGCCGCTCGATTTGTATATATGCTGCGGCCACAATTTTACACAGAGCCACTGTTATGCAGGAGCTGACACACAACAAGATTTAAATTTGGCATCGGTAGTCATGATTATCGGAAAACTATGCTGACTGTCGCGACATCTGACGTGCTTTTGCGGATTTAAATTGTGAATGTCTGTTTGTGCATCAGGAAGAAGTACATTGAAGAAATGAATGTTCTTGAAGAGGATGTGCTAGCAGAGACAACGGTTTGTCAAGTGGTCTTGTAGTGTTCAAGGTATTGTCATCTAGAAGGCATTTTGCTGAAACGGTAGCTCCAGCCACACCCAGTCTTGAAGCCTCCATCTTTAGAACTTCTGCATTGCATGACAGAACTAAATTTTGTTGAGGGTAACTAATAGCAAGAACATTCAGAAAGCATGTAGAAACGCATAGCTGACAAAAATTTTCTTTTAAAGTGTAGGTGAAGTCTGCCACTATCCGAATAATCTCAGTTCATGTTTTCGTTTGATGATGAAGCCGTAAGCTTCAGAGTTCCCTGATAAAGAGGTTGAGTATTCGGTTTTAGGATAGTGGGCCAAAAGCGTTCCACATTATGATTTTCTTGGTCACTCGTTCTTAGGTGGTTGTACGTGAGAAAAAAAATTGTTTGCGGTCAACTCTTCATCGCAATATCGTCTCAAGTCTTTGGAAGATGTCATTTAGATTCGTCGGTGCACACACTAGCGCACAGCAGCCGTGACCCATGCTCAACACTTTACATCCACCCACTCTGCATCACAATCTCGAGATTGTACCTGACGAAAATAATGCAGCAAGAAACGTGTGATGTGAACACGCGTCCATTCTCATCTAGTCTAGGCATCCACTCCTTTCGCAAGGCTGGGGAGTGGGCCTTAGTCTACCCCTGACACGCGGGCACTGTGGAGTCATTTACGTAAGGGGATATCTTCCAGGAAATTGTTGATGCGCTGTGACACATGACAATGAAGTATCTCCATCCCGACAATGTTACTCTATGGGAAAGCAGACTAGACCTCTGCTATTTCAACGTGAATGTTTGTTTTTTTTCACACACAGCGTGCACAACTCAACAATGAAGCCCTCAACGAAGGCTCCATTGGTGCCGCCTAATCCCTGCTGTGATGTTGTAGGTATGATTTATCCCTAAAAATGCACTGCCGATCAGCGACGTCACTCCTTGTATGCCCGCATAATGTCGCTAGCGTTGCCACGTTGAATTCTGGCAGTGTCATCTGCGCTATCGATAGCGTGGTGTATTACTTTGTGCGCAGTGGGTGCCGCCTTGAAAAGCCCCGTCTACAACTGTGTGATTTCATAAAATCAGCTCTCTTGCCGATTTAATGGGCAATGGCTCTTCTTTTTCATTATTTGTGGGGGCTCACTATTAAAACCAGAGCTAATAATGGAGGCCACAAACCACCCGAAGTACTTAGTCCCATGTCGTGTGTCATCGGCGCAACTTCTTCCTGCAAACATTCTGGCAGAGCAGCAAAAAGGAGTTTAATGCAGAGTACTTTACTTTTGCCCACGTGTCAGGGGTATTAGCCATTGTCTTGAATATGTCTTTACAGCTCACAGACAAACATGCAATTTACCCTAGAACGTGAAGGGATTTTACTAGTGCTCACGCCTCTTGCTCTGCCCGCACGTGAATGAGTCCATTGTCAACGCACTCATCACCCGTTATGTTACGAACACTGCAAGTTTTTTTTGTCTTCTGTGATTTTCAATGGCTATCATCATGTTTAAAGGGAGGTGATGTGCTTATTGCTAATCACTCTTCGAATGCGCACTGACAAGACCATGCACGATGTTATATGCACTTTTGATGTTGTTTTTGTCACTTTATTCTGTTCACTATAGTCATTGTTGTGATGCGTTTATTGTAAGTGCTTGCTCTCAGGTGAGTATGTATGGAAGTTGTCTTATTAGGATGACGGTAAAATCATGAGAGATGGCCAGCTGCTCACAAAAATAACACCCAAGCACCAGTAGGGTTCAGAAAGCCTTGGGCAGCACAAACCCATTTTTCGTGATTTCGGCGATGAGCACTGATGAACATTTTTGGTGACAGATTAGTACACAGTAAACAGATTGATGTTTTCCCCGGTGTTCTGCAGTACCTCGGGATTTCGCCATGATTTTGTTTCAGATTGCTACGGTGTGTCCTCGAAGTTTTCACTATTCAAGAAATTTTTCTTATGTGCGATGGTAGCATTATCTTGATGTGCATTTTTTTCAATGCACTAGCAATCAGTTTTCATGCACCTTGACTGGTGTCTCGTTTTTATTTACTTTGCCATTAAAGTTCGACCTCAAACGAATTGGCAACATTTTTATTGATCAACCACAATACTGCCACAAGAAACAAAATACAAAATATTGTGCCAAGTCGTGCGTGTCATGCACAAGCTACAACGGATTACGTGACGATTGAAATACGACTAGTGCTTCTTATCGTGTACTTTTATATATTTAACAATTTTGATGTGTCGTGTCTGCACTTGTGAGGTTTGCGCCTGCGCATTGCACATGGACACTGAATGGGACAGCATTAGTGCTTCGATTCTCTGTTGTTATTACTGTTCATTGCGATTAAACAAAGTGGCTATTTCTTGCGATGCGGCCCACGTGGAAAACTAAGTGACACAGTAACAGCAGCTTGAATCTCTACAGAAATATCACTCTATGTTATTTGTTTAGTTGCCTGTGTCAATACAGTGTGGGTGCGTGCACTTTTTTAGTAACGTCTTTGTGGATCTAGATCAACATTTTTTGTAGACTTGGGAAGTGCCAGTGTTTTCGTATGCCAGGTTTTTTGAAAACATAAACTATGTGTCCCATAGGAGGCGGAGTGTGGCAGCAGGATTCGATACTATCAACAGAGAGGAAGCTCTTGAAAACTGCGACTGCAGTTCAATAGTCCTGTATCTTCTTCCTGTTAAAAATAAAGTTCTGAAGCGGCCGGGGAGAAAGGGCCGTGTCCTTAGGTGTCATTCAGAAAAATCTAGCTGCCATGGATCAGGGGACTGAATATGGCCAGAACTTCAAGAACAATTTCTTTTGAGGAACTCGCACCGAGTACTTGAGTTTGAAAAACCCGACTTAGCTTTTGTATCTCGTGTGAAAATACATGCTCTCAATCAGTGAACCAAAGGCCCCCTTCACAATGGTCCATATGTGATGCGAAGGCACTTGCGATTTTTGGCACATGTGTTAATGTGCATATTCATAAACCTAAATGTAGGTGTATTCTTTCCCATCTCCTCTAAGACGTAAATACGCAGTTTTGATGTTTACTTGCTCTGAACAGGTTGTTCTCTAGTCAGTCGATAATAATATATGCACTTTTTCATTTGTACAGGGCACACAGTTTTGCCGTTTTGTCATGTATGTGACTTCTGTACGTAAAAATGCATTTAGGTGTTCAGTGCTGTTTTATATATGCGTGTTGTACTTTTGAGCGTTCGTGAATCAGGGCTTTTTTGAACTTGTTGTGGAGGACACGTAGTACGTACTTGCACACTCCTCGTTTTGCGCATGTAGTAAATAGAAGTTACCTTGGCAGGCTTGGGACTGAATTTTCGGTATTTTTGAGAAAATAGTCATTTCTGCTCAATCTACATTATTTAGTCAAATCTGTTTACACGTAGCTCACACTGAGTTCAACTTCATGAATTTTGTTTACTTCACGAGTTTAATCCCAGAAAAAAAATGACTTGTTATGAACATTACGCAGGTATTTCTTTTTAGTCTAAAATTTCTGTTTGCATGTGCAATTCAAAATAAATAAGAATGTGTGATATAACATGTTGCTACATTGAAATGAAGTTTGCAGATTCATGCACAAGCAGCAATAGTTTGTAAAAGTGAGAAAAGAATGATGTAGGTACACGAAACCATACGTTTTAGGAGACAATAAAGGGAGAATTTGATGTTGCATGTTATTGAGAACTTCAATATAATTTTTTCACATTATGAATTGTGTTTGTTCTCTAGAGAAGGTTAAACTATGCATGGAGGAAGGTAACGCGTTGTATGAATGTGACCTTGAAGGATACGTGCTGAAGGTACTTAATGATGGCAAGGAAAAATTATGATAATTTAGCCTGATCTGACGAACTCAAGAGATGTGATCATGTCGCAAAATCATAGTTGAGGTTGTGTATTTGAGCATGTGCTGTCCTAGAACTGTCCTAGATTGTGCTACCACAACCCCGGGAAATTGTTTGTATTTGTTGATTTTGATGCAGACTGTTTTGCATGCTATGCAAAGTAAGCGTACTTACAAACAATTACGGCCTCCCTCCTCACAAGGCAAAAAGTTGACGGAAAGAAGGTTGCACGAATGGTTCTACCGAGAGTTACCTCACAAAACCAAGAACCTATGTTCCACCCGTGCCGCTATAGTCTTTTTAAGGCTATTGAGCCAGTTCTGTGGAACGGTGATTTGCCGTCTTGTCAAATGTAAGATTTCTTTATCATTCATTATAAAATTTCAGGCTCTACTTGTAATATAAAAATACTTAAGCTGTAACCATTGCAACAGAGTTTACAGTGACTGTAGGCATACGACAATATAGGAATTTACGGGTGGAGAGTAGGTTTTCTAAGGAGATCATTTAACACAGCATAGTTTTTACATACCAAAGAACAATTGCTTATATTGA